AATATAAAATTGCGTAATTAATTTTGAAGTTGTAATCACTTTTTAAATTTATTAAAACACTAAAAATGTCTTGTAACTTTAGTTAATCTGAATATACAATATATTTTAATAGCAGTATTTTTATTAAATAATATTTTGATTTTAAAAATAAATTTTATTAAATATTTTTATAATAATATTAAATGTTCTTACTTATCAATTATATATTGTTAACATAATTTACCTTTGGCATATTTCCAGAGTACTTAAAATGCACCGGTTATATTTATTAAAAAACAATAAAGCATATTTCTACTTGTTAAGTTTCAATGCTATTATATAATACTGTATGCCTTTCATGTTAGATAATAAAAACAGAATTGTATTGTATTTATGTTACTATGGTTTGCAATCATACCTTTGTATGTAGGCGGCATTCACAAAGGGGAGGGGAGGGAGTCATGTCAAAGTGTATATCAATGTTAAATTATTAAGGATTATAGGGCGAAGTGTTCAATTTTTGCCTAAAATGCATTTTGTGATTGCACCTTATAAAATAAAAGTTATCAGGCTAATGATTTTTTAAAAATTGTGATTTATTATAGTAAATTTAGAAAAATAAAATATCAAATTAATATTGAAGGTCTAATGTTGTGTTAAAGTTATTAATATATTAATTGTGTGATTAGTTCGTGGAAAAATACATGGCATTAATTTGTAAAAATTATAATTATAATAATTTGAGTATAAATATATAAAAATACAATTAATTAATTAATTAAATGAATGAATAAATAATTTAAATTTTGAACTCAATATGTTAACAAACTATTTGTCGCCCCCTTATAGTAACAGTCTTTCCCTTCCACTTCCTAACATAAATACAATGAATTGCGATTAAAAGTGCTATAAAGACAACAAATCCCAGCGGGAGTAACACGTATAAAAGTATCCTGCTCTCTTTCTGCCAAACACACTTATAGCCATTATCAGGGTCCTCCTCGTAGTCGTCATCGCAAACGCACCGGTCGTCCCCACAATGCCTTTTCATATCATCACCGGTAGGACAGGTAAGGACACTATCGGTGGAGCAGTTGAACCGATCGCACCGGTATGTCACAGGATTATGAATGTAATCGGGACTACACGTGCACTTGTTGTCCACACATCTCTCGGTATTAGAGGAACAGTCGCTTTTGGATGAACACGACTTCCCATAGGTTTTAGATTTTAATACACAGTGTTTGAAGTAATCGATGTAACCGTCCGGACAGACACATACGTTGGACATACAAGAACCCACCGGTAGGTAAGGAGTCTGACAGTCGGTGTCAGTGCGGCATTCAAAGTGTTGACACCTCCCGAGTGTCGAGTTATACCTGTAATTGATATTACACTGGCACCGGGAGCTCTCACATACCTCTCCCCACTCGCACGTGGATTCCGGGCAATACTTGTCGTATGTCTGGGACTTCTTGACACACATATCGCCGTTGTTTGTGTCCATTTGATAGTCCTCATAGCAAACACATTCATGGTTTGGTAGGCTACAGGTGCTGTCAGAACTCCAGTCCTGACACGAGGCTAAGCACTGGTAGGGCTGACAGAGATACAGGTCTTCACTCCATAGGGTATTCCGTTTACACTGACAGACCCCATACTCCGGCATACAGTAGGTGTTCCCTTGTGTACAATCACTATTAGTTTCGCATTGAAATATTGGAATTCTGGCCAAACTGATCTGGATAATCGTAAAATTTATTATAGTTAATATTCCTAAATTTACAAACATTTTAATATATAATGATGATTATTATGATGGAGTATAAAATATACTTATACTTAATATATCACATATAAATATTTATAAATTAAAATACTGTACAGTATATGAATTTTGTATTAAATATTTATAGATTTAAAATTTCTAATAGTACATGAATATATTTATTGTAATAAAATTATTAAATTATAAATAGTTCTGGATTTACTGTGAAAAGTGCAAAAGGCACAGAATTACGTATAGAATAGTAAATATATTTTGTATGATGTGTTTAGCAACTGATATCTGATGAAGTTGTCAGGAAATGGCATCAAACAGTTGTAGATTTAATTTTATGATAACATTGAACACTAACTATAATAATATTGATAAACACCTTATATTTGTTTTTATTAGATGTTACATAATGTTATTAATTGTGATATCGGGTGTTGATAGTCGTTACACTAAAATAGGTTCACTAAAATCAAGATATAAAATATTTTGTTTAAGTAAAATTAATAAACTAGTCAGTAGTCAATAACTAATTTGTGTATTTTATTCTGAAATGTTTTATAAAACTTTTATGATTACTGTTAATTAGAAAAAGACTATGTTTTGTGAATTAAGAGCAGTAAAATTGATTAGACAAATTGTTTAAACATACAGTTTACAAAATATTTAAACTTTCAGTATTCAAATTATTGATTATTATTAATTAATAATTTTTAAAAATGTCATCTTAAATAACATACTTTAGTAAATGATAAATATGTAACATACTGTTATTATACATTACTGTACAATTATAATTCAATTAATTATTTATTTATTTAACATAATACAAATTGATTATATACTTTAAGTGGAAATATTTAATTTAACAAAGCATGACATATTTAATAAGCAATTATGTTATACCCATTAATTCCAGATTGTTTACCTTGTATAGTAATAAACACCTGACCAGATTTATGCCAAGCTAAACGAGTAACAACACCTGGTTTAATTTCACCATCATACCAGGCCATAGAGGGGTTTGTAACAGTATACGAATAATATGCAACCACCTTGCCACTTAATTGTTTAACAGCTACGGACAATCCAGTCGCTGACATATGAAACCCAAAATAACGTTTCTCATTTAACATGACATTGTCGGTAAACATTTCACGTTTTTTAAGCCACTGACCAAGCTCGCAACTTTGCTTAATGAACCGGTAGCTACTTTCGTCTAATTGAACATAGTCCTTTAGTTCTGAAACATAATTCTGATTGTTATTAGCTATTTCAAGTAATTCTTGCTTGTTCGTATTATTGCCAACACCCCAGGCCATCATAAGTATACCGAAATTTTTTGCCTCGCTTACTTCATGACCTAATTTAGGCCCAGTATTGGACATGCCGTCAGTGATAACGATCATACGTTGTGGCACCCCTGGTCGCTTCTTTATTGACTTGAACATGGTGACCGCCTCTTTAATAGCGCCGCCTGTATTCGTGCTGTCTTGCGGTTGCTTTAACCCCTTAATGGTAGCCAACATATCATTCAGACCTGGGTTATTATCAAGTCTTATTTCCGGATAAATATTCTGCCCGTACATGACCAGGCAAAATTGTGCTTTATTAGAATATAAACTTTTAAGCGTGTTGTGCACAAAGTTTTGACCACGCTCGAAATCGTCCGGGCTAATACTACCGGAGCCGTCGAGTACGTAGCACGAATCGATGGGCAGTTGGCATTTGAAACTCCCGTGCAATTTAGTAATGCGTTTTACGAACTTAGCTGGATCGCCCTGGTGACCCGAGTGATATTTACTTGCCCATAGTTTAGCTTGTTCAGCAATCGAAGTCGGTATATTGTTCATAGAGGTATGAATGTGTAAACGCGCTGCTAGTCCTGAATATAAGGGTAAATCTAAATCGTCCTTGGTCACTGAACTCCAATCAATGCCAAATGCGGAACCCACTTTATAATGCATGACCATTTGTCTCATGTTGGTGTCGGTGTCCAGTGTGTTGTACAGAGCATGGTCATCCACTTTCCAGATGCCGCCCATTAAGTCAGTATATGTTTCGAGTGAGTCACCGCAATCAGACTCCACGTACGCGATACGTGATAAAAATTCGTGGTCATCAGGGAAGATCTTGGACATTTGCAATTTCGTCACAACTGCATCGACCACATCGGATCCATTTACGTACGGATAGAGTGTTAGGTCCACTTTTTGACCATTATATCCGAGCACATTTATCAGCAATATTAGAATATATAAATTAGTACAATGTATTAATTTAAACATTATTAATATTAACGTAGTTACTTTCAAGAAATTAGTTGTGTAATGAAATTTTTGCTCATTGTGCCTGTTTATAAACTGCAGCCACAAAAGTGTAGCAGTTTACAGTTTTAAACCTTATATGGAATACAAATGTCCCTGTTTACGGAAGTAATGTAAGATTAAATTTAAGTTAAAGTCTGCATTTCATATTATATTATTTGAATCATATTATAAAAATATTTATAATTCTAAAATTATATCTAACGATCGTAAGTATAACATTTTCAAATTCAAAGTTAAGGAATATTAAAGAAATAAAGTTGTTTCAATGATTTCTAATACTTTCCACTCACTTATCTGATATAAAAATAAGTTATTGAAAAAAGCATCTCAAATAATGTTGTTTTATGTTAAATATAACAAACAAGATAACTATATTTCATATAAGATCTGAAATGTTTAGTTAAATTTATCAGCTATGTTTATTAACATGTCTAGTTATAAAGTTGTATTATACAGTTGTGTATTTGTAACCAAAATAAATATTAAGTAAGAGTTACTGTATGTATTTTAATAAACAGTAAAACAATAAATTATTAATTCATAATTACTTAATAAAAGATGTATAATAAAATATGTTAAAATATATTTTTCATTAAAGGTTTCGTACAAAAATAATTTAACATTTCTAAGTTTATTATATCGACAGAACCTGGCTGTGACTAATTTCGTATGACTCATACTAATTATATAAATATGAATTTAAATGATTTAAATAAATATTTATTAATAAATTAAAATTTTTTTTATTTCGCATGGGATTGCAATAGTACAAAATACAAGGGCTAACAAAGTACGGCACTGACCAGGCATACAAGCACAATAAAAGATCTACCAGGATCCAATCCCGGGCAAACACGCACACTCGCTTTCAATCAATAAATATCATAAATACTAGCATTTTATTTTATTTTAAATTAATGATTTTTACTAATTTTAGATTTATCAGCATCGCTATTAGATTGAATATTATGATTATTTGCATGGACTGCCCAGCACTGAAGTTCCACTGATGCGAATACAATATACACGCCAGTCCCCAAAATGTACATTAAAATCGATATGTAAAATATGCTGGCCCAATTTGATAATGTGTGCTAAATTATATTTAATATATATATGACAAATATTCACAAGAAATGTAAAATTTAAACGAAAAATATTTACCCCCTGATCAAGAAAGAGAGCGGTAACCAAGGGTGAAATCATATTGCCAATATTAGCCACGGCATTTGTCAAACCATATAAAACTCCCGAGAAATCCGGTGCCATATCGATGTGAGTCGACTTAAATCCTGAGAAATGACACCCGTGTAGACCCGTGGCTATGATTAACAGGATAACCGTCTCTGTAATATTGCACCTGGTATATATTACGGCCAGTAGACATAGCGCTGGTCCTACGAATGCTAATTGATAAATTTACAAAATAGTTAATTTATTAAAACAAAATAAGTTTTACATATAAATGTGTTGCATATAAAAGTACAAACCTATTGTGTTATTTGTTTTCCTGATTATATTATTTGTACTAGTATCATATTTACGAAATATATCACTAATATACGCGGCTAACCATGCGATAGTCGCGTGGGACAGGTGGGTCACTGATGTAATTAATGAAACCTAAAAGTACAAACATTTGTTTTATGAGTTTGTGACAAATCTAAATACCTGTAATAATAATTAAAATATTTACTTTAGGAATACTTATATCTAATATATTTCTTAAATACATGGGCAAAAGTGCTAACAGGGTAAATGTGGTCCAATTATTACAAAAATGCGTGATTACAAGGGCGTACACAGGTATCGAGGTAAATATACTTTTCCACGGAATGACCCTGCTCTTTAGAAATAATAGCAAAATCAAAAAATAAAATTAGTTTTTATAAAAATAGAAAATAGTAATTTTAGGATTAAAGTTTCGTAATAAGATTTGTATAGATATTAAAATAAGATTTGTATACTTGTTATATTCATCTCAAAACAAGTAATTTGAATATTAAAACTAATTGTGAAAACAAACTGACAAAACATACATACCTTTCGACATTCATCGGGCGTTTGGTTGACAACAATGAACTCGTACTCCTCTATGGAAATATAGGGGTGAGTGTCGGGGCTCTCGTAGACAAACACCGTCCACAACACAACCCATACACACCCGGCCAACCCAAACACGATGAACACGGCGGGCCAGCCGCCCATAAACGTACCGTCACATAGTAGACCGGCCACCGGTATGGAGACTACCATTCCTATGGAACTGCCGGTGAATATAATAGTAGTGCCGCGGCTTCGCTCCCATTCGGGCATCCATTTGGCGATCATTACACACATCACCGGATATACCACTC